TAAACGGTATTGATTATTTTACGAAAGCAATATTACAATTTTTACACCTATGATTTATAAAAATTTATAATTTTCTTTAACTTAGGAGTGCATGGCCAATGCTAAGTATGCAATCTCTGTTGCTCGGAAGATCGGTGCTTGTATTTACGCCCTACCAGAAGACATTGTAGAAGTCAAGTCAAAGATGGTAATGACAGTGTTTGCCTGTCTTATGAGCCGTGACTACATTCCAAATATGGGAGCAGGAAACCAAAAACCTGGATGAATGATAGAGAAAAGGAGTTTTATGTAATATTTACAGAATATATATATATGTACATCCAAAAGCTATTATTACTCATAATTGAATTTACAATAATTAAATTTTTGTATAGGTGTTCAGTGATGAAGGTAAGATTAGTTATGGAAGTGTTAGCGAAATCAATCTAATCATGTCAGAATGTTGTCAATGTAAGGAAACATTACAATAATGTACATTATTAGGGCAATAACAAAATAATGTATGTATTATTCATTACATGATTAAAACAGTCATTATTTAATTTGTATTATTTTTGTTAGATGTACCTACGCACGGAGATCTAGTCTAATATACTTTTGATAAAGCAGTCGCATTTAAAAGAAAAATTTATATTTTTTCCCAAATTTTATGTTATTAATCTCGTAGTTGTTCAATACTCTTTACTAATGTAGTAAGTCTTATTTCCATTGATGTTTACTTTTAATGTGATTCTTTAAACACGTTTTAAAATGTATTTTGTCCGTGTGAAAGTAAAAATATGTAATTATTTTCAATTAATTAGTTTGTTATCCCTAATTAGTTTGTTATCCCCGTTGAGTTAGAACTGTTGGTGATACTTGAAATATTGTAAAGGTATTTAAAAAACATATGTTCAATCAAATGCTTTCGTAAGATCCTTTTCTCCATTCAGTGGTAAATTAAAATGTGAAATATATGGCCTTCAGTGAGCATCGCCTCTGACTACATGTGAAATATGTGGCCTTCAGTGAGCATCGCCTCTGACTACATGTGAAATATGTGGCCTTCAGTGAGCATCGCCTCTGACTACATGTGAAATATGTTGCCTTCAGTGAGCATCGCCTCTGACTACATGTAATATATGTGGTCTTCGGTGAGCATCGCCTCTGACTACATGTGAAATATGTGGTCTTCAGTGAGCATCGCCTCCGACTACATGTGAAATATGTGGTCTTCAGTGAGCATCGCCTCCGACTACATGTGAAATATATGGCCTTCAGTGAGCATCGCCTCTGACTACATGACGAAATATATGGCCTTCAGTGAGCATCGCCTCTGACTACATGTAATATATGTGGTCTTCGGTGAGCATCGCCTCTGACTACATGTGAAAATATGTGGTCTTCAGTGAGCATCGCCTCGACTACATGCGAAATATATGGCCTTAAGTGAGCATCGCCTCCGACTACATGTGAAATATATGGCCTTCAGTGAGCATCGCCTCCGACTACATGTGAAATA